AATCATCTAGGATGTTACCCTATCTCAGAAAACAAATCTAAAATTTTTGGTAATTTATAACGTGACTATTACAAAATGTAAACTCTGCACACATGCAACAGTTCATATACAACAAAAATTTCCATGTATGTTTCATAAAAATAAACAATATGTCAGCATGTAGTAATTTGATCACTGGTGCGGCATATTAATGCACTGTTCAGTACAATTGGGTCAATATATCCCACAATATATATATAATATATATATTCAAAATTTTTTTAATCTGGCATTAAAAAAAATTTCTGATGTGGCTGAGCAATGGTTACATGATACAAATATGGCGTTGCCACTCCAGTATCAAAGAATAATAAATATCATTATTTGTTAAATAATAAAATATTACAGCCTCTTCCCCCTCCAGATAAACTTTGATATTTTTATAAATTAAAGTTTACAATTTTTTTCTCAAAACACAATATCAACACAATACATAATTGAAATACAACAAATAACATAATAACATACACTCAGGAAGAGAGGAAAGAATAAAATCATTTTTTTATCTATATAGAGGAACAAATTATTTAATCAGGCCTGGGAGCACAACTTAATGCGTATGTACTTTTATGGTTTTTACCACTTCGATGAACGAAACTGTAAAGCATCAGTTTGCAAAATGAGCTCCTTATTGAAATCAGGTGCATGTAGTATAGGCTTTTGAGACAGTTTTTTTCTTTAGCTCTTCAAATGCTTTTGTGTACTCTTCTATCCAATTTATTTTCTGTTTTTGTAAGTTTGCTTTCAAGGTTTAGGTTAAAGGTGCTGCTATAGACGAGAACATGGAAATGTAATAATTATAATATCCTGCGAATCCTAAAAATGCTCTGACTTTTGTGGATGGCACGGGAAAATCAAGAATAGTTTTTACTCTGACTTCACATGGCATTCTTATACCACGACTTACAATATGTCCTAGATATTTTATTCTATCTTGGACAAATTTACATTTTATAGGTTTAATGGTTAAACCAGCATCATTTATTTTTGTCAAAACGGCTTTCAGGTGGCTTAGATGCTCTTTCCAGGTGTTTGAAAAGATTGCCACATCATCTAAATGTGGAACAGCAAAGTGTTCCCAACTGTGAAGGATTTCAGCCATCACTTTGCTAAATGTAAATGGTACATTTTTAAGTCCGAAAAGCATCCATAGAAGTCTAAATGTGCCAAAACTTGTAACAAAAGTGGCTAATTGTTGGGCATTAGGTGTTAACGTTAAAGAGTTATATATTTTGCACTTGCTACACTTTCTACTCATTGTTCGATATTAGGCAAGGGGAAGAATTGTGTTTTAGTCAACTTATTCAATTTCCTATAGTTGATACAAGGTCTAGGATCTCTTCCTGCTACTTTCACTAAAATTGGAGAAGTGTAATCTGTATCTCCTGTTTCAATTATTTTAAATTGAAGCATTTTATTAATTTCTGTTTTTAATATATCTGTTTGTCTAGGAGAAATTCTGTATGGTTTACACTGGATTTGTGTGTTTTCGGTACTATTCGGTTTTGAGGGCCGTAAAAAATTGCCAAACTATTGTTGATGCCAGTGCTGCCAAAAATAATTGTGGCAACCCTAATGCAAGAAAGGAAGTATAATAGTAAATAACTATCTAAGATTGATGTTTTTAATTTACATGAAAGGTTAATTTCTGATGTTTTAATTTAGATGAAAGGTTAATTTCGTATAATACTTTTTTATTACTACAATTTATATAAAAAAGGCGAACCATGACTGAATGGAAGCATAAGAGTAAATAACTATTTCAGATCATTTGTATAATTTATATAAAAATTGCTAAACGCAACTGAAGGGATGAATACATCGCTATTTCGCTACTGAGTTATCGCTTAAGCATAATAATTTCACCTCGTTGGTTGTTCAGACATAATTTTCTATAATGAATGATACCTTTTCTATGAAAAAATTCTCGGTAAAGGGCAGAATAGCTCACTTATTTGTTTGCCGCTTTTTACAAGGGTAAAAACAATTGGATTTTTGTCAATTTTCTTTTACTTTTTAATTGAAAATATGTTGATAAATGAAAATATGTTGTGCACATAGATAAAGTCAAGGGTGTGTGCAGTGCCATTTTTGTGCAATTCTGGGATTTTTTTTTAAGTGAAAATAGGTTGATGTGTACATGGATACTGAGTATGTGCAATTCTTAAAAAAGCTTCAAGCAGTGGGGGATTCTGCACTTTACTCAGAATTCTATTGCAGACTTTTCGTCACGGACAATTCACAAATTGTTAAATCCATAGGATGTCAAAAAAGGATTTAAAAATTAAACTAATATTTCAATAACATCTTAAGAAATATAGAACTATCTAAACTTATGCAATCTGAAGTCAGCACATACGCTAGATTTGGCGCGCTGTTAAATGGGCGCGTTTGCTAGATTTGGCGCTTTTGCGCATATATTTTCGCTGCAATTTGTTTGTGGTCCTCAAAACAGAATAGTACTGTGTTTTCTGTCAAATGAATATCACGCGTTATTAAATGAGTTTTATAAAAGATATTTGAAAACTTCAACAGCAGATCATGCAATTCTTGAATTTGTTGTTCATTTAGCTTATCATTTCAGTAACTGTTTTCCTTAATTTTCTCAAAATCGAACAATGTTGTTTCAGAGTCAATTGTTGGGAAATTTTCCTCCATATCATCAATTTCAGATTAATCTTTTGTAATCATAAGGTTAACTGATTATGATAAGGTTTTAACATGTTAACATGGTAGACTTGATTAAGGTCTTCTTTTCCTTCGAAACTCGCAATATAATTGGTTTCGGATAATTTCTTCTCAACCTTTCCATTCAATGGCTAGTCTGTTTGCTGTACTTGTTGATACAACTAATACTAAATCTCCTTCATTCTCTTTTGATAGCTGTACGATCGTACCACACTTTTCTTTTAGTTTGCATTTCCAGCATCTTAGCTGTAGCCAGCTCTTTTCATCTTTTTAATCTATTTATCAATTGAAAAACGTATTCAAATCCATTAACCCCTCCACGTACAGCACACATGATTTGAGCGGCGTATCTGTTTCATCCCCCACTATGGGTCACGTGAAAATCGCGGGCGAAGAATTTTTTCCCCCGATTTCAATGCAGATCTCGCCATTTCCCCGTGTACGTTAAAAAAACCATCATCTGATGCTTATTTTCACTGCCAGGTGGCACTAGAGGGTTCAGGAATTTGGTTTTTTTTTTTTTTTTTTTTCTTAATTTTTTTTGGCTTGATTTTTTTTTTCCTGCGTATTTGTGAGTTTGCGTGCTTTCTTTTGTCTTTCGTGATAAACATTTATGAAAGAGATGGATTTGCCGAGTGTAAGCAAATGATAATGAGCTTTCACCTGATCCTTTATGAATCATGCTTGTTGCCATCAGTGTACAAAATGTCTACAAAAGTATAACTTGCCTTTATTTTTCACAGCCATTGGTTGTAGATTAATTTTTTTAAATGAAGCAAATATTCATGTTTCGGCAGTTTTAAATTTAAAGAAATAAGTTTTGTAAAAATTTACAAAAATCTAACTTTTGTATGTACTTCTGGTCCTTATATTTAGGAAAAATTTGTATTTGTTATAAAAGTAAAGCTCAAAAAGTTTGCTTGTATGACAAAAATTTACACTATCCATTTCAAGGGCAATCAGATTCAGATCTGTCTTCTTCAGAAATAAATAAAAATCACCAAAATATGCTCCTGAAAAAGAGAGAGAGATATCTGATTGTCCTTGACATCTGTAGAGCTTTAATCAAAATCAACACTAAATAAGGCTTGCTGTTTATCCTAATTTTAAAAGGTAGTAAATTTTGTAAAACTCTGAGTTATTGTTAAGCAAAAGGAGAAAAAATTATTTTAATATAAATATTAGTTGTGTCTGTTTTCTTTGTGTTGCTTCTTTTCTGTGCGATTCTGAGAAAATATTCAGATATATGTCATCTTTGTAAAATTTTTTTATGCTGTTCTGATTTTTACTCTTTTATATTTGACTGGTGTGCAATAAATAGCTTAACCAAAGACATTATGGGGAAGAGAAGAGAGTGCTGAAATACTTTTTGTTGGAATTGCTGTCAGCACTTTATCTTTGCACTGAAAGACTAGTTTTGTTTAGTAACTATGTAAACATGGCACACTTTGAGGAAGCACCTCTGGGATACCTAATTTATTATTTGGGGTGTGATTTCTTCATGCCTCATGAATTATTGTGCATTTAAAAAGAAATTGCAGATTATGTGTATTTTCTCATATTGAGAATCAAAGTTGTATATTTTTTTGAGGGAGGGGGAATAAGTTATTTATAAGTAGCAGTTAGAATAGATGATTATTATAAGGTTACAGCATCTGTTGTGTAAAACAAAACAAACAAAAAAAGCTTTAGTTTTATATATACAGTCAAATGTCTTTAATCCAGATGTCCATAATCCGAAATGATCTATAATCCGGACCTCAAAGCTATAAACTTTCTCCGCATGCATAAACGCTTTTACACATGCTCATAATACCTTTACTCATGCACATAATACGTTTACACATGCGCGTTTAATGTATAATGGACGGTATAAGCTAAGCTAAGATTATCTAATTATGTATTTCAGTTAATGTTGCAGATTGCTTTGTTCCTTAATCTTCTAATTGGATCCAGCTTATTATTTTTTGCAGACCGTTAGAGCAATTTTATAATAGTAAGCTTGAACTTTCGATTATGTCAAAAAGAATTCATTGCTCTTTATTTCATGAATTTCGGTTTCATATTTTTAATTTTATAATTTCCGCATGCCATCTTAACAGATTTAAATTGATGATCTATAATCCAGAATCACCGAAGTCTCGATGAGTCCGGATTAAAGACTTTAAACTGTATATACTTGTCGTATTTTACTTGAGAACCTTTTTTCATATTTGTTGTAATATAAATCTGTAAGTAAATAATTTCCTTTAATTCATATTTAATTTCTCTAGAAATTTTAATATTAGGTGGTCTTGGTTTGGTTTTCACAGATCAACATGGTTGAACAAGAGGTAAAATTTTTTTTTTATGATGCTGAGTTGTCATTTCTAACAAGCATGAAAGCATTATTCCTTCGACAATGTTCCCTTGGATTTTATTAACATGATCTCATCTTGCTTGGTTGTAAATTAAAAAAAAAAAAAAAAAATTACTTTTAAATCAGTTTAACATCCTAATTTACTGTTTTCATCTTCAGATAAATAACATTTAATTTTTATGGTATTCGTAAGTAAGTCTGTTGTTTGGTTTCTAGATTTCAATGCTTAGCTGAATGTAGAATTGCCATAATTCATTGGATCAGATAAAACTATTTATATTTTTGTACTTCTACATTCTCATACTGTATGTTCCAGGATTTTAATTCTTATTTACATTGTAAGTGTTCATATTAGCTTGACCAATAAATAACTACAAAATGATAATTTTTAATTTGATGTTATTTTTTGTTTGAAAATTTTGTTTCATGTATATATATGGGTGTGTATATATATATATATATAGATAGATAGATAGGTAGATGGTATATTGAATGGGTGTATTATACACACACACCATTAATTTTTCATATATTTTAATTGCCAGGTTAAAGGTTTTTGTTTAAAAAAAGGCAATTTTCATAAGTATTTTTTTAAATTTCTCACAATATTTTTTAAAGTAAATTTGAGTTTCCTTGAGCTACCTTGTTTATTTTTATTTTTGGTGATATTCATTTTTACCTTTGGTGATGTTCTGCTTCTTAGCTGGGAAAATTGTCTCCAAAAAAATATGATAGTAATTTCTAATTGCTGAAGTGCAAGCATATGCATGAAATATGCTTGCACTTCAGCAATTAGAAATTCTAAAGTTAGAATTCATTGAATTCTAACTTTAGAATTAACCATATTTTCAATATACACTGTTCAACTCAGAGAAAATAATTAAATTTTTTTTGGCAATTGCCTCTTTTAAGAATTTTTCACTGTTTTATCAATTTTTTTGGCTTTAATTATGTAATAATGATAAAAGGTAAAAATGTGCTAATAGAATTTTTTTATTTATTATTTTTTATGTAACATGTATCTCATCCTAATTTTGTAAATTCGACATTTATTCAATATTAATTGAAAATGAAGGAGTTAACAAAAATATTCTTAGTAAGTGACATATTTTATTTTTTACTAATTTGGATGCTATATTCCTTTTTATGCAGCCATGTTTATTTTATTAACATACATGCTCAAGAAAACTGCTAATTTTCTTTTGCAATTGAATTAAAAAAATGCGTCATTTTACCACCTTTTCATCCCCTTTTTTGATAGAGAAAGAGATGGGAAATATATATATGTATACCAGTTTTTATCTTATTTATTTATTTTTGTAAATCATGCTTTAAATATATTATAGGCACTTAAACAGTACCTGGAAAAAATTAATACAGTACAAAGTCCAAAATCTGGACATTCATTATCCAGAATGATCTATAATCCGGGCCTCAAAGCCGCAAATTTTTTTTGTATGCTTTTTACGCATGCGCGTTGGGAGGATGTGTCTCCAGATACGTTAAAAAATGCTTGAAATAATTTATAGCCAGCTACCATATTTCATGGTGATGATAGCTGCGAATTCGAAGGTTTTCGGACATCGCAAACTAAAGGTGAAATTTTCCAGTTATTGGATTTTTGTAAAGAAATGTGGAGAAGCAGTAATAAATAAAGATGATATAACAGAAGTTTTCATTGTGATGACAATGCCCCAATCATCAATCAATTAACGGACGCCGAAATCTGTAGTATGGTTCTAGATCCAGAAAATACCGCTTCCGATAGTGAAGAAAGTGACAGAGAGGTTATTGAAACCGAAAAAATTTTGATTGACAAGTTAGTCGCTATTCTCGACACAGCAATTACATGACTTGAACAGTGGAACTTTGTAACTGAACAACAAATTATGTCTGTTTACAACTTACATTGAAAGAAATGTTTAATAAAGTAATAAAGTAAACAAGTAAATATTAAGCTTTTTTTTTTTTTTGGTAAATTTTGATACCCTTTAGATCATAATTGCTCTTTATTTCATAAATTATGGTTTCATATTTTTAATTGTGTAATTTCTGCGTGCCATTTTACCAGATCTAAATTGGTGATCTATAATCCAGAATTGCCGAAGTCCCGATGAGTCTGGATTACGGACTTTGTACTGTATTATGAGATTTTTTGAACTTTTTGTCTTTTTATCATCACCTCTGCAGTTCAAATTTTTTGACATTTTTATGATAACTGCTTTAATGCCTGGAGCTAACTACTATGTGGCAGAGTAGCATGCTATACCATTTATATTAATGATTTTTTTATTAATAACGATGCAGCAAAAGTGATAGGCTGCTGCATACTTTTCATTATGCTAGAACTAAAATAATTCCAAGGCATGGTGCAAATCCCCATTAAGTCCCATTACCATATGATAAAGTTTCACTCCTGCCTGTTAGATAAATTATATTAAAATTATTCATTTTATTCTTTTATTATCACTTTTTATTGCTTTATGCTTTCATATTTTAGATGTATTTCTAATTCATTTTACTATAATTTTACATGAACACAGTATTGTTATCTTTTAATGCAACATGTCATATTTTTATAGTATTCTTCATAAAGAGAAACATCAGCTGTATTTATGCTTATTATTTTCTTCTTATTCCTCCATGGTTTTAGCCTGGCCTGGTTGTGTCTTGCACCTTTAGAGTAAGGGCTAATTCTTCATTTGTCTTTGATTTTTTTTTTTTTTAATGCTGGCAGAAAAAATCTTTTCATCTAACGCATAATGAACATAAGTCAGTGCAAAATTTATATATTGTAATATATATATTTATAATAGTATCTTCTATAGTATGCAATAAACATAGATAACTATTTGAAATTAGTGCCATCTTAAAAGAATTCTCCCAAGAAAATGACATAATTTGTTTTTTGGGGGGATCTTTAGAGGAACCTGTTCAGAATCTCACCAAAAGAAAACCATCCTAAACACAAGAAATTATCTTTGGCCAAAATTTTGCAGTTTTTACAAGAATATCTTCGAAACAGTTTTCTTGGTTCATATACTTCCACCACATTAATTCAATGAAATAGGATTCCAGATGGTCCCACATCAATTCCTCTTCTGTATTTTAAAAATTGATTTGCCATTTCTATTAAGAAAAAATCAGAGAGCTCTATTTTTTCTCAGTAAGCATCTCCCAAATGTTTACCGTTTAGGTAGGGTCCTTCTGGCATTATTTTTCTTAGGTATGGAAATTCACATCAGTTTTATTGATATTATTGAATATTCCAAGTTACCTTTTAGCATGTTTGATGAGGTGTCATGAGCAAACCTTTCTCATAAAGGTATTTTAACTAGTGGTTGTATTATTACAAATATGTAATCATTTTCTCACAGTAGCGTATTGATGCATTTTCTTCCGAGTAATGATATATAAAACATATGGTCAGTTGAAGATCATTTTATTCATAAGATATTTTTATCATAAGAACAATAGTTAAATGTGGTAAATAGGTTAATCTGTTAATTAATAATGAAATCAGTTTCATAGCTTGATTAATTTTAATGATTTAACTAAGATTCATTGTAAATTTAATATGAGTTGTGCAAATAAATTAGCAAATTAAAAATATTTTGAAATAACTGTTTTACAATAAATAATTGTTTATAATATGCTACCTATGCATTCTTATAAGATTGATATTTATGCTGAGTAGATGAATAGATTTTTTTTTGCTTTATAATTGTGCTTGATTTTAATTTAATAAGATTTTTTCCCTCATATAAATATGTAGATGCTTATCTTTGAGACTTGCTATAATTATGCATGTGTATGATTTTTGAAATTTTTGCTTTGGTGGTTGCTAAAGCATAATTTGGGACTGGATTCAATGCTTAAGCTGCATATATATATAATTTTTCTTTTGTTTTTAACATGCTTTTTTAAAAATTATATGTGTAATATTCTGAGTTTCTTTGCATGGCATTTCTTAATTGGGTTTATTTTTTTTTTTTTTTTTTTTTTTTTTTTTTTGTAAAAAGATTTTCATGTTTTCCTACAACTAACTGTAGAATTACTGTTAAAAGGATAATATTCTTATAATCATTGAACAAGTTGTTCTTTCTGATAGTACTAATAATAAATCTGAATTTAACTAAACATTTTACATTTAGCAAAGCTTTATATTTTGTCTATTTATCAAGGGGAATAATTTTTATCATGTACTATGTGTTTTACAAAAACTGTTTTTGAAATTGTAATTATTTAATCACTTTATATTGCATGATGTGATAGAGTATAAAATTACAATAATAAGAAATTATCAGATGCTATGGAATATTTATAAATGTTGTAATGAAAGCATATTTTCAATAAACCATGTATGGTCAAGTTCTTAAGGTATTTCTTTTTAGCTGTTCTGTTTGAGTAGATATTTTACAGGATTTTGATAGCATATGAATAGAAATTAAAAAACTGTCATTTGTAATATTAATTACCACAATAACATAGTCCGAATATTGTTGAACTTGTAGGTTTTATTTGAAGGATGCTGTTAGATATATCTAATTCAAGTAGTAAAATAATACTGTTATTACTTAAATTCATCTAAGTTAGTGAAATTACTTGAACTGTGTATGCACTGTTCCTATTGTTTTTCATTAAGAATCCCTGTTTTATATTAATGAAGACTAATAGTAAAAGTCAGTTTATTTCATGTTCTAAAAGCTGATAATTTGGGAAGTATTCTAATTTGAAAATTCATTCTCTTTTATTTATTAAATACATGTAGGTGATGCTTATGAACGTAGTAAAAAAAGCCTATTAATTTTTTTCTTGAGGGGGGCAAAGTAATTTGTTCTATAATCATGGAACTTCATCAGTATTTTTTGCCTGGTTTATTGTTTAATCTTAGCATATAGATATTCAAGAGACCCAGATTTTTCTGTACCTTTGAAACACTATTAAAGACTAACTACCTATTTGCGAGTGCATTGCTTTTTCATGAAACCGCTGTGTTGGCAAGGTAATGAATTACAAATATTGGTGGGAGTGATGGTAAGTCTTTATATTAAAGGAAACATGCTAAATTCAGCAAAAGATTGCATTGCTGTAAAGGATTGTGCTATATATGTCATTGATGGTTAAAGATTATGGATACCCTGTAGATGTCATTTGAAGCAGATTCAGTATGCATTAGTAGTACAGGTACAGGTTGAAGCAAGGTTGATACTTGTCCATCCATCTAGACATGTTAGGTATCACAAGGCCTTGTTAACTGCTAAGCTTCTACCCCAAATAGAATTTTGGGGAAGAACGTGCCGGGGCATTCTTTGAATCTGCATGTTAAGGTGCCAAGGGTCTTTACTTTCTTTCCCTACCATTATCCTCTCGAGAGGATTTTGCTTTATTTTGAGTACCCCCGCCTTGCTTCAGAGACTCTGTATGCTTACAAACATCCCTGCCTTCTCCAGGATTCAAACCGGGGCCCTTTGGAATAGCAGTCAACTATACTAACCATTATCCCATCTGGGCAGCATTTATCAGTGGTATAGTTACAAGTACCACCATACAGGTCAACCTTTGGTCACAGGGAAGGAGATTAGATGCTGCATGTGATGTAGTAGCATTATCCTGATGAAAGGTATTTCCTGGAAGACTCCTTAATAAGAGTAGGATTTCTGATTTTAAAATTACACCTGGCTTTGGCTTTAACAGGCAAATTCAAATACGAGTATCTCTATTTAGAATCATCAGCAGACGTCTAAAGATGTCTTACATTTAATAATAGTTGTAAAGCATATTCCACGGACTCAAAATGAAAAATAGGTCAGGTTTCTGAGCATATTCTCAATTGTTTGTAATCCATTTTTAACATTTTGTGTATATGAGGTGGGATTGGCTTCATGGATTTGATTTAGGTGCAGTTAACTTTTAGAGATTAAGAACAACAATGAAAAACCACACTGACCTCATAGTGCTTATCATTCGTATAATTTGAAAGCAATGAAGAACTTTGATGAATATGAATGAAATTCAGTACCAACCAAAAATATGATGCTCATACTGGACAACATAGTCAGAGACTTATAATGACTATAAGCCTAGTCATTATAAGTCTCTGAGATTATACCAAAATTTTTCAAAAAGATAATTTCTTCTCATTGTGTTCTAATGTCTCTGCTTTTGCTTCTTGCACTTGGTAATATAAATTGTTTGTTGTTCATCTTCTGGGCTCAAGCCCAGGCAAATGGGCTGACTGCTTTGGTCAATTTCATTGTTACCCTTATGTGCATCTGAAAAGTAAGCCATTTTCTCCCTAGAAAGTCATTCACAAAGGCATCCCTCTGCTTAGGCACATATAACTCTTGTGTGCTTTGCCAAATCCAGATATTTAAATATCAAAATTATTGTTTATCTCTTTCTTTAAAAATTTAAAAAATCTACTCTTAAAATATCATAAGTTATTTTGTGATTATATATTATAAAATATAATTAAATTAAACACATTTTTCCAATCTAATTCTTAGCTTCTTAATTTTATTTTGAAATACCATAATGTGTACCATAGTGTTGAAATACCATGAGTAATACTTATTAAAAATGATGAACTATTATAAATGTCTATTATAGAATGATTGTTTTTTAATGATTCAGTACTTCCTTTTTAAAATAAAGCTACCTAAATAAAGCTTTTTAAAATAAGCTAAGATTTTTTATGTATATTTTATGCACATATTTCTTTTCATTTGTATCTTATAAATGAATTCCTACAATGATAAATTCCTACAATGTCTGCAGTTATTTCAGTGCATTTTGCACTTAATGAATAAATTAATTGGCACTAGCATAATGCAGTCATTTAACTAGAAGTCACCAAATTTTAAACAAAATGTGCTAAACATTGGTAATTATGTGCATTATGATTCCTTAGGGTTTAACGAGAAGTGTTGCTATTTTCGTCTGCATTCTTCGTATCGTATTCCATGTTTCAAAAGGTTTTGCCAGCAAGTCTTGGAAGATATTTATTGCCTTAAACTCAGTTTTAAAATACCTGCTTGTAAGACTGCTTGCAATGGGCAATACAAGTAGTAAAGCTTTTGTAGGAATATAGTATTTTGTTGCAAAATTAATAAAGGAGATAATTGCGTTGAATCTATTCTGAAAATGATTTCCATGAAATTTCTACAAAATTTAAAAAAAAAAAAAAAAAAAAAAAAAAAAAAAAAGAGGGGACATGCTTATAAGTAGGTTTACTGGTTGGTTTTGGGGATAAATTTCTAATTAAAATGCAAAATATGTGTGGTTAAAAAAAAAAAAATGAAATGTCCTTTTTTTTTTCCTCCCCTTCTATAAAATTTGCCTAACTCTTCCAAAGTGCTTATGTTAATACATAAGTACTAATTCATTTACTTGTGCTTAATATAACTACATTTTTGTGGTTAAGGAAATTAAAAATTATATTCAGTAAGAGCCCTGTATATGCTTCTGTAAAATGTGTGGAAAAAAATGTCCACATTCAGAAGCATTATGTAATACATTTAAGGCTTCTGTGTTCCCTTTTGTAATTTTACTATGTTTTATCTTGTTTTGAGCCTTTCTATATCATATCCAAGATCTCAGTTATATTATTGTGGTTTATTGAATCTAGTAAGCTTGATTTAGGCTTAGGTACTGTACAGCTAATTATGCCAGTTCCAAATCAAGAGCTTTAAAATTTCTCCTGTGAAAGGTTCTAAAATTGAGTTAGCTTTTTATTTGCTTTTTAAAATCTTCTTTAAATTTTTCATTCAAGCAAAATAAATAAATAAAATAAAATACTAGTCAAGCAGGAAACAAAAATTATTTTAAGTTGGTATAAAGAAAAAATAGAAAAAGCTTGCATTTTATGTTAATGCATATAATTCATAACCCAAAGTTGTATCTTTTATGTGTTAGAAATTACATAACATAGATTGGTATTTCAAATCTTGGATAAAATTCCGTAATAGTTCTTCCAAATGCATCACTACACGATCTATTGTATTTAGATTGATTATATGTGGAAATGAAAATAGATCAGTGAGTATGTATTTTACTGACTATATGTAGTTTTGAACAATAAATGTTGTGTCTGTGTCAGTCTGCTTCATTTTGTGAAGTGTAGTTAATGTTGTCATCCTGCCTTAAATGTTCATTTTCAGTTATTTCTGTTTTTTAGTTATTATTTTTACATTTAATTTGTTACATGAGTTTTCTTTGTCATTATATTAATCAGTAACTTTTTTGTAAATTCATTTTAGTTTCTAGTAATAATAATTTAAAATTTACATAATTTATTGGGCTGCAAGCATAAATGTGTTAGTGTTGAACAGCAGTTAAGGCATGATTTGTTTATGTTTTAAATAGCAATTTTTCATTTAAAATTAAATGTTATAATAAATTAATTATGTTAATTTTTCTAAGACTTTTTTTAGTATAGAAATTATGCAATCAGTTATCTTACATGTTGCATTTTTTAATACATATCTTTGACTTGTAAGTTTTTGTTCAAGTATGCAGTGATGGTTCTTTTCCCCAGTAAGTTAATTTTTAAGAAATCTTAGTTACTGCAGCATACATAAAGAAGTCTAGACTGGAAATGTAAGAAAGAATTTGAACAGAAGTAGTGGGAGTGGTTCTCTGGAGAAATTTTCTTCCATTTTTCTGATTGTAGCTTGAATATTCATAAACATGTTTTACTGACATGTAAAATAAGAAGAAAATTATGATTTTTATGGCAAAATAGAGTGTATGACTGTAACATAAATGGAGCAGTTCCGAGAAGTGTATTCAAATGTAATTTGAAATATCAGTTATCAGAAATCAGAAAATGGTTTTTTTTTTTAATATTGTATTTCTTTGAAAGCACTTTCATTTTGCCATTTCAGGCTGTCTCTCTTTGTTTTTAACAATATATTGCAGAAAGTTGGGGGAGTGGGGTAGAAAATTTATGTTGTACATGTTTATTTGATGTCCCCCCATCATTTGATATAGCAACAGTAGTATAAATTGGAAACATATAGTATTTTGATAGTATGATACTGTTTATATCAGCTGCTTGCTGTTATGCTAATTTTTGAATTTTCTAATGATGAATTATTGAAAAGTACTTCATTTGAGATTTGTACATGTTTTTACATGTTATGTATGTATTGCATATTATGTTCTCTCCATTCTCATTTCATGTTGTTTTGCTTTTATATGGGCAATTAATTATAATGTTGTATTCAAAATTAAAGATTTGAATAAAGAGTTTTATCTTTGTGAATGTCACCAGTTTTTATGAAGTTTAGTATTTGTGAATTAAAATAATTTGGTTATACAGTAAGACCCCGCTTAACGCGGGGGATACGTTCCATCAAAGTAGAGCGTAATGCGAAACAGCGCTAAACGAGGCTATCTTTACATGTAAATATTGGGGTTAGGGGAAGATGGTTAGGAAATTGGTTAGGTATTAAATTTAAAAAGTATGTTTTTTTAATAAAAAAAAACCAAACATTTATTTCTTAAAGCCCAAATTAATACCACATTATTATTTCTTGCAAAAATAAAAACAAATATAAATAACAAAACGAATATTCTTAAAAAAAAATAAAAATTCTCAGTCAGTCATATTTAGTTAGCCTTCCGCGTTTTCAGTGTTCTGCCTTTTTGTGACAAAAGCATCTAATGTTGTTTGCCTTTTTCTTTTGCGTTGTTCTCTTAAAAGTTCTTCATAAACGGATAGAGCATCTCTAACACTACGCCTTACTTTTGAGCTCCTGTCAAAATTCGGATCATTTTCAATGAATTGATCCATTATTTCAGTTATGGTAGACAAACTCCTTTTTACAAATGCCATCGAAAGTTCTTTTTGCTCTTCTTCTGAATCACTGCTGTCAACATTTTTGTTTTCTTCTTGTTCAGTTAATTCCTTGAGCTCATCATTAGAAAGACTAGCTGCTGCTTCTTGAATTATTTCTTCGGCATCTTCTACATTTACCCCTTCAAAATATGTCTGTACAATACCGCACCAAACAAGAAATACAAGTACACTCTTTCGGATATGTATTTGAAACCTATCGCTGCATAATATTTCGGGGAATCCCCGTATGCTGTGAGCGATTTCGTGGAATCCCCGGGTTGAAATAAAAGAGCGCTAAACCGAAACAGCGCTAAACGAAACAGCGTTAAGCGTGGTCTTACTGTACATTTCTTAATTTTCCATAATTTTTCTTTTATATTAAAATGGGACTATCTTTAATATAATTCTGACATTGGGAATGTTTATCATAGTGTATGTAAATGAATGTATGAAATGAAACTAAATCATGGGAAAATGCAGCTTTATTTTTTAAATTATCAGAAAATACAGAATGATTTCATAACAGAATAACAGAATGATTTTATGTGAAAAAAGCAAAATTCGCAAGATTCGCAATGAAAATTTATGGCATTTTTGTATTCTGAGATTTTTACCTTAATTTCCCAGTCGAACATTTACATTAGCATTTCAGGTGGGAGAGATGTATAACAAAAATGAAGCATTCATATCAAAAATAAATAAATAAAAATAAAGCATATGAATGAATAAAAATGGTTGTGCATTTTAAACCAGTCAGATTCTGGAAATATATTTAAAAATGCTGTTTCAGACTGAGATTACCATTTAATTGAATGATATGCATTATATTGCTATTGTATATACATAGATTTTCTTTCTTAAGCAGCATATTTTTAAAAAGAAGTTCATTTGGTATGAATTTAAAAAAAATTTTTTTTTTGACAAGCAATGGAAATCAAACTTCTATTAAAAAAAAAAAAAAAAAAAAAAAAAAAAAAGGTATTTAGGAAAGGATTTTTTTTTCTGTTCAAGAAGTTCACTGGCCCATCGATGGGTGAGAGGCAAAAACTCTGAATTCCGGTAGTTAAACCTAGGTTCATATCCCAGCAAGTAGACTAGCTGCATGGGAGTTTTTGAGGTTTTCCTCATGTGTAACATGAAGACGAGCCTGTTTTGCTTCAACGTTCTCCACAAAAGCATTCTTCCTCTCTCCTTTATGTGCTTTTTTTTTAATCTAAATAGTACTACTTTGAAGTTTTTTTGCTGAAATTAAAATGGAAAGTAGCATTGAAATTATTTTAAAATAAAAGTAATCTAGCAGGTGTAGCAGAAATTAAAAAAAAAGAATAATTGGGAAGAAAACATAACTTCCAGACTTAATCAGATCTTTGTGAAAAAATCTAATATTTGTGAAATTTTAGAAAAATCCTCTAAAATTTATAAAAATAATTATGGAAATTCCAATTGTACTAAAGTTAGTGCCGTAATAATAGGTAGGTTTTCATAATATTTAAAGTTTATGAGGGATGAATAAGTAAAATTTATTTAAAAATGTGTGTATATAGTTCATTAATATGAAGAAATCCTGATGTACTTTTTGTGATAAAATCTGATTTTAAACATGGGATTCAGTCTAAAAGTATTAAAAAAATTAAATTATTTAAGGTAAAAACTAAGGTTGTTAGAAAATTTTACAAAAACTGTATATAATTAGGCATTGCACTTGTTATATATCCATTTAATTAATTTACAATTACATCTGACTTTTGAAATTTTCTTTTAGCCCATTACGCTCACCTGGAGTGGACAGTGAAGTTGTTGCAATGAATAATGTTTATAAAGAAAGGTTCCCAAAGGTATTTGCATATACATTATGAAGAAATTTACATGTAGTAATGTTTGTATTCAGCTTTTTAAGAAAAAGGTTTAATGCTCAAAAGTATATAATTTATACACATAAGAAGAACATTCTTAGTAATGAATATTAATTGCTATGTGTGTCCTGGTCTCTTGGCAGATGTCCAGATTTGCCAGCTTTTAATTTATCTCATTTTTTATCATTGCTTACAGTTGCAGGTTTGGAAGACTTGTTTGTAAGTAATTTTGGAGGAAAATGCAGTGAAAACAATTTTGATGTTTGGGAGGGGGCAAAGGGAACATTGTTATATCTAATGAATAATATTATCTAATGAATTATATTGTCGTATCTGAATAAATCTCAAATTGTGCAAATTCAGTTCCCCCCCCCAAAAAAAAAATCCATCAAATTTTTTTCTGATTTGAATTGTTTTAATCCATTATAGAGAATTGTAGAACACTAAAATTTTTGAACACTAAAATTAATGTTTAGTAGGTAAATATTTATATTTAGTTTTGCTAGTAACTTTTAGCAGGATGATATTGTATTTAATTTTGCTTAAAATCTATATATAGTATACAGTATTAAGTTTATTTGTTGCACATATGTTACTGATTTTATTTTCATTATCATGTATAGAATCAGTTTGATAAATGAAAGTAAAAAAAATCGTGGGTTTTTGTCAATTTAATTACTATGTAAAAACTTTTTTAACCATTTGCTTTCAATTCTATAATTTTTAAATAGATTATAGAACTAAATGCATGTAGTCAAAATTATAAAATAAAAGGAAACTTGGAACAATGAAGTAAATATTAAATTATGTATTTTACATCAGAATAATGTTATAATTAATTGAACTATCTCAACTGTGCTTTATATTCTCAAATTTGTCAATTGAGTGTTTTTGAAGTTGCATTGTTGTGCTGCATAGCATGAAATTTTCTGGTTTTTCAAATTTCAAGGTTAGCAGCTATGGAGTTGCAGAAAATTCATTTAATGCCAGTTTAACAATAGTATAGAAATACAGTACAAAGTCCGAGATCCGGACTCGTCGGGACTTTGGCAATTCCGAATTTGGAAGAATTTAGATCGTTCATTTAATTCTAGTAAGCTGACATGTAGAAATTAAAAATTAAAAATATGAAATCTTGATTTATGAAATAAGCATTTATAATCTAAAAGGTATCAAAAAAAAAAAAAAAATAGAAAGAGGCTTAATATTTATTTGTTTACTTTATAAAACATTTCTTTCAGTTTAAGTTGTTTCACTTTTTTGTGCTAAGAATTTCTCTTTAATTCTATAGACAGACAATTCAGTTACGAAGTTCCATTTTCTTCAAGTCCTGTAATTGCTATGTCGAAAATTCCGACTAACTTGTCAGTCAAAATGTTTTGTTTTCAATAACCTCTCTGTCATTTTCTTCACCATCCGTAGCGTTATTTTCTGGATTTAAAACCATACTACAGATTTCGCCCTTTGTTAATTGATTGATAATTAAGGCATTGTCATCACAATGAAAAACTTATATCATCTTCATTTACTATCACTTCTCCACACATTTCTTTACAAAATCCGTTAATTGGAAAATTCCACCTTTGATTTGTGATATCCCGAAACCTTCGAATTTGCAGCTATCATCTTCATCATCCTCACCATGGGTAGCTGGCTGTAAATTATGCCAAACATTTTTTAATGTATCTGGAGGCACATCCTCCCATTATCTTGCAATGCTCCTCACAGCAGATTTTATGTTCAAATAGTTAAAAATTCTTAAGCAGTCTTGCCGTTATTCAGGAAATTTAACTTGCCATTATTCAGGAAATTTAACATGGACTTTAAAAATGCTACTTTATATTTGCATTTCAGCATGCACTTTATTACGATATCCATAGGCTGAATGATGTATGCACAATTTGGAGGAAAGAATAATATGGACACATTATCTTTTACTAAAACTTTAAGTGAATTATGAGCAATGCAGTTATCTAAATTCAAGACACTTCTTGTGTTATCAGGTAAATCAATCAAATTCAAATGTTGCAGAGCCTCGTATATGAAATGACTTCCAAACCATGTACTCATTAATGCTTCTGTCATCCAGACTGTTTATTTGTACAATATATAACAGGGAAAATCAGTACTTCTGTAAATGTTAGAGGTTATGTATTTTCCCCGATTATGAAAAGTTTACACTTGTGCGTTCCTGCAGCATTTGCACATGCTAAATTTGTTAGTCGTTCTTTGGAATCTTTGCCACCAGTTGAAAAAGCCTTTTCTCTAGAGGTTGCCAAGGTGTTTTGCAGTATTATATTGCCAGAAAAGACCAGTTTCATCAGCATTGTTCAGGAACGTGCACGAACTCGGTTAATACACAATAATTTAATATGTTCATTATAATGTACATGTTTTGTGGCAACAGTGATGTTTTTGTTTACATATGCTTTGAGCGTGATAACGCATGGGATGTTATTCTTTTGATATGTTTAGAATGCTAAATAAAATAGTTCGTTGTTAATTAAAAAGGTTTTCTCTGCTAGATATATTACCATTCGTCCGAAGTTATTAAATAAGTAAAGAAATTGATCTAACTTCAAACAACTAGCATCCTTTGACAGGACCGAATGGCTATTTGAAGAAAATGAAACAACGGTTAAAACGAAACATCGATTTCGTATTGGAATTTATCAAGTGAGTTTATGATTTATTTGATTATATCCTTTATTATTTGAATATATTGGACATATTGAATTTAAAATCATGGAAATGTTATTAGAAAAGCGTAAGCCACTAAGGCAATCATTTACGATTACTGCCAATGCTTTAGATGCTGAAATTCTAAAGCCTGACGTGGAAGTTAATCAACTCCAAGTATTGAGCTTACAGTTGGAAGGAAAATTCAACAGATTAGATGAAGTTCAGTCACAAATTTCCGAACTTTTGTTGGAAAAGTCAAAACGAAAGTGAATATTTAGCTGATTTTGACACGAATGAAACATATCGTGATAAATATATCAGTTTAAAAACAAAAGTAGAAAACAAAATGGTGCTGGAATTTTAGAAAATTCCACGAAAAGGAACTTTAAATTACCAAAGTTGGAGCTTCAAAAATTCAATGGAGAGACCCGAAATTGGTTAGGATTTTGGGGACAGTTTAAGAAGATCGACAAAGATGTAAATATAGATGACGATGACAAATTTCAATACCTATTGCAGGCAATGGTCGTTGGATCTCCAGTGAGAGAGCTCATAGATAATTATCCTCCCTCTGGCGCGAATTATAAAGAAGCTATCAAGCAGCTAAAATCTCGATTTGCACAAGACGAATTACTGGTAGAAATCTATGTTCGCGAATTATTAAAGTTGGTTTTGGCTCAAACTAGCAAAAAAGGAAATATGACTCTATCCAACTTATATGATAAGTTAGAGATGCAACTCAGAGCTTTGGAGACGTTGTGGGTAAAAGTGAGATTTATGCAGCTATGCTGTATCCCCTTGTAGAGTCTTGACTACCTGAAGAAATTCTGAGGGCATGGGAGCAATCTCGCCAGCGTAGGGAAAGTGTGGCACACACTGAAAATTTGGAAAATTTATTGCATTTTCTCTGAATTGAAGTTGAAAGTGAAGAGCGTCTTCAGTTGGCCCGTACAAGTTTTTCTGCTCCAGACAAATTGGACTCAGTTCCAGCCACAGCAGCTTGCATTTATGCAGGAGATTCAAAGAAGAAACAGCTTAATTTTTGTGTTTGGTGTGACAAGGAAACACATAGTTCTTATGAGTGCTTTAAGCTGCACAGCCTTTCATTGGAAGATAAGAAAAATTTACTAAGAAAGAAGAAAGCTTGTTTTAACTGCCTAAAAATTGGGCATGCTGCCGAAAAGTGTAAAAGTTCTGTGAAATGCCGAGTTTGCAACAAACATAATGTAACTGTGATGTGCAGAGAACTAAAAGGTTCTAGAAGTTCAAAAAAGGAAGCACCTAAAGCAGCTAATGAAACAAGTGAGACTTTATTGTCTAACCAAAAACTGCAAACAACTCTTCTCCAAACTATTATGGTGAAGATTGTCCATAATGGAAAAAAGGAGCTTGTGAGAGTACTCTTTTTTGACACGTGGGTCACAAAGATCTTACTTACGGAAAGACATGAATAAAGAGAACTAGATTTAGTCCCATTAGATCAAGAGACTTTGAGCCACAATTTGTTTGGTGAGAGTTGAAACTGAATCTCAGGTCCATGGTATTTTTGATATCGAAATACAAGGAACGGAAAATAAATTCAAATACGAATTATCGGTTTTAGATAAAGACAAAATTTGTGGATACATTCTTAGAGTGAAACTCAAACATATATGTTCCTCACTTCGAGAACATAAAATCAAAATCAGTGATTCTGGAAGAGATATACCAGATATGGGATTGTTAATAGGAGCCGACTATTCCGGACAGTTGATGACGAATAATATCATTCCAATTGACAAAAACCTTATTGCCATTGAAAAAAAATTGGGTTGGACCCTACAAGGCCCAGTGCAAAATCATAAGACCTTGCTTGGTACCGTCGGACTTTTGTTATTTGGATCTCGCAGAACTATGGAATTTAGAGACAATTAGCATAAAAGATCCGGCGGAAGTCAATACTAAGGAGAATTTAGACAATGAAACGATCAAATTTTTCCTAGAGAACATTAAAGTAATCAAGGGCAATAGGTGTGACGTCTGTTTGCCTTGGAAGGATAGTCATCGGATTCTTGAAGATAATAAAGATAAAGCGGAAAAAAGACTTTTCGCCAATACACGAAGACTGCAGAAGATGGGATTTTTCGAAGAATATGATGGTATTATTAAAGGCTGGCATGAGGAAGGTATAATTGAAATAGCTCCGAATAATAGTGATACTGGTCACTATTTATCTCATCAAGCAGTAATCAAGGATTCCAGTCTGACTACGAAAGTGTGACCTATATTTGATGCATCATTGAAGGATGAAAGTGGGAATT